CGTCATGCCCTCGGGCACTGCCCTGGCCTGGTCCTCTTGGAGGCTCCGAGTCTCCTCGTTTTCTAGAGCATTTGTGGTTGAGTCCCCCAGCCGGCGTTCTGGCAGGGTTTGCATGACCTGGTCTGAAACAGAGGTTGTGGGGACCAGCAGGTGGTATGACAGTTAAGGTGCTAGGCTCCCATGTGGACAGCTATGATTCAAGTCCTGGACCCAGCAGCTTGAAAATCATGCTGGGCGCCTATGTGTACATGCCCAAAAACCTGAGAGGAGAATGGAGGAGCAGGGACTGTGACGTGGCCATCCCCCCAGGGGGGTGCCCTCTCGCTGTCTTTCTCCAGCGAGTGCACACACCCTACGGCGGAAATAAATAATCAGGAGGGAGTTGTGATCCAGGAGTTGGGGGTAGGGCCTGGGTACCACACTGCTGGCCAGTGCCCGGGAAGCGTGCTGCCCATCACAGGAAAGCCGGGGTGGTCTCCGGGCGGGCAGACCCTAGCGGTCATCAGGACGCCCTCCACGCATTGCAGTGAGGCCACGACATGCACGCTCTAACGAGCCTTTCCCTTCCCCACTTCCAGAGCGGTCTCCCCACCGGCCCATCCTGCAGGCGGGGCTGCCCGCCAACAAGACAGTGGCGCTGGGCAGTAACGTGGAGTTCATGTGCAAGGTGTACAGCGACCCCCAGCCCCATATCCAGTGGCTCAAGCACATCGAGGTGAACGGGAGTAAGATTGGTCCGGACAACCTGCCGTACGTCCAGATCCTGAAGGTAATCTCAGCCAGTTGTCCCGACCGGGGTGCTGGGGAGAGGACAGCGTCTCCTGGATGCTCGGGTCCTGTGGTCAGCTCCGTGTGGAGGGTGGGCTCGGACTCCTCCGTACCCTTTGGGCACAAGCACCCTCCACACGGAGCCAGCCACGTCCCAGAGCACAGGGCTGGGAGTGCGGGCCAGGGCAGCGCAGTGCAGTTTTCTAAAATGCCTGAGAGTGACTGTGGGGACTCCAGGTCAGCTGCTCCAGGAAGGCATTCGGATGCCTACTTTTTCTTGGTTTTCTTTTCTTTTCTTTTGTAAGTTTATTCATTATTTCTTCCGAAAGAGCGGGAGGCAGGGACCCCACACTGCCACCCCCTGCCCCCCAGTCTCAGCCAGTATAGATCATGGTACGCACATGTGCCCGGCTTGTTCAGGGCGGTCCTGGGATGTGGGCCCAGCTGCATCCCCTCACACCACTGCCTGCCCCCAACTCCTGCTTTTTTATCACCCAGGACCACAGCACTCTGCCCAGCATCTCCCAGCCTCGGCCTGAAACGGGGTGAACAAGAAGGTGTGGCTTCAGTAGAGCTAGGAGAGCAAATGCCACCTGAGTTGCAAGCGGCCCGGGAGTGATGGCACCCCCTTCGCTCTCCTCACTCCTGGCCGCTCACCGTCCCTGGTTGCTCTGTTAGCCCAGGGAGGTCGCTGCTGAGCCCCAGTGCGTCTGGCAGCGGGGGTACCAGAAGCTGGGAAGGGTGCATATGCCCTGGTCCAGCGCAGACCTCACCCTCCCCACTTGTCTGCCCCCAGCATGCACTGGCCGGCACACTGCTGCACTCCCTGGAATGAGGCAGAGCCCTGGCCCAGAGATCAGGCCCCGGGGCTCGGGCTCGGCCCCCGTTCGCAGGCCCTGCCTGCCGAGTGCCCTGCTCGGCTCCCGCTCAAGTGGTTTAGTGTAGGCAGGACATTGGATGGGGCGGTGGTTTGATTTCAGTCACATGCTTTGGTCCATCCAAGTCGGCTTGTTCTGCCCTCCCATAAGGGGAAGAGGAGAGCTCTGACGTCACGTCTCCCTCACTCAGCTCCCACTGAAAGGTACTCGGAGCAAGTGTAGCCATGTCTCGGTGCCCGCCTGCCTGACTGGCGTGTCATTGGTCTGTTCCAGCATTCGGGGATTAATAGCTCGGATGCGGAGGTGCTGACCCTGCTCAATGTGACAGAGGCCCAGAGCGGGGAGTATGTGTGTAAGGTTTCCAATTATATTGGTGAAGCTAACCAGTCTGCGTGGCTCACCGTCACCAGACCTGTGGCCAAAGGTAATGAGCAGACGGACGGGGCCCTGCGCTGGGATTTGAGGCCCCAGGCGGTGGGGCAGGGGGAGCCGGGCCGAGCTCCCCTTGGTTCTGTCCTGTACTTCTTGTGCCTGGAGCCATGGAAAAATACCCGGCCAGGAGGCTGGTTTGGTTTGGTGCTGTGTTGGTGTCTGCCGGCTCCCTCTGTGCCTTTCGTGTGCCCCTGGGCTGAGTGTGTAGACGCGTGTGCCCTGTGGGGGCAGTCTTGCTGTGTTATGAATGAGACTTCAGACTGAAGGTTAGGAGGCCGGAGGCCCGCAGGGTGTGTGTGTGTGTGTCTGTCTGTCTGTCTGTCTGTAGCACCCTCTCGACCCTCCCGTGTGTACCCTCTGACGGTCTCTACCTGAAACCAAACAGCCTCCACCTGCCGGCCCCATTTCTCCATGCCGCCCAGCGCCCGCATGCTTGCAGGCAGGGGCCGCATCCGCTGGGGGCGGGTCGCAGGCCCTGCCTGCCGAGTGCCCTGCTCGGCTCCCGCTCAAGTGGTTTAGTGTAGGCAGGACATTGGATGGGGCGGTGGTTTGATTTCAGTCACATGCTTTGGTCCATCCAAGTCAGCTTGTTCTGCCCTCCCATAAGGGGAAGAGGAGAGCTCTGACGTCACGTCTCCCTCACTCAGCTCCCACTGAAAGGTACTCGGAGCAAGTGTAGCCATGTCTCGGTGCCCGCCTGCCTGACTGGCGTGTCATTGGTCTGTTCCAGCATTCGGGGATTAATAGCTCGGATGCGGAGGTGCTGACCCTGCTCAATGTGACAGAGGCCCAGAGCGGGGAGTATGTGTGTAAGGTTTCCAATTATATTGGTGAAGCTAACCAGTCTGCGTGGCTCACCGTCACCAGACCTGTGGCCAAAGGTAATGAGCAGACGGACGGGGCCCTGCGCTGGGATTTGAGGCCCCAGGCGGTGGGGCAGGGGGAGCCGGGCCGAGCTCCCCTTGGTTCTGTCCTGTACTTCTTGTGCCTGGAGCCATGGAAAAATACCCGGCCAGGAGGCTGGTTTGGTTTGGTGCTGTGTTGGTGTCTGCCGGCTCCCTCTGTGCCTTTCGTGTGCCCCTGGGCTGAGTGTGTAGACGCGTGTGCCCTGTGGGGGCAGTCTTGCTGTGTTATGAATGAGACTTCAGACTGAAGGTTAGGAGGCCGGAGGCCCGCAGGGTGTGTGTGTGTGTGTCTGTCTGTCTGTCTGTCTGTAGCACCCTCTCGACCCTCCCGTGTGTACCCTCTGACGGTCTCTACCTGAAACCAAACAGCCTCCACCTGCCGGCCCCATTTCTCCATGCCGCCCAGCGCCCGCATGCTTGCAGGCAGGGGCTGCAGCGTCTGGTGGAGGGTCGTAACCTGCGGTCGTCTGCTCAAGTCTGCCGGCGTCCGTCCCTAGGGTCTCACTGTCTTCCTCTAACAGGTCTGGCTGCCTGGTGGTTTTGTTTGTTCCTTGCTGCAAAGGAGACGCTGGGGAGCATTTCTTCTCTGGTTTCCCCCTTCTCTCTCTCTTCTTCCTCCGGGTCTCTCCGAGGTCTCATGTCCTGTGCTTGTCCGTTTTGCTTTCGTTGTCCCCTCCAGACTGCCGGAGTTAATACCACCGACAAAGAGATGGAAGTGCTTCATTTGCGAAATGTCTCCTTTGAGGACGCGGGGGAGTATACGTGCTTGGCGGGTAACTCTATCGGACTGTCCCACCACTCTGCATGGCTGACCGTTCTAGAAGGTATACACCGTACTTCTCCCGCCTTGTCCTGTTTCGCCACAGGCTCGGGGGAGCATGCATTGCACGGCCGGGAGACACAGAGCGGGGCAAGGCCTGGGCATAGGCTCCTGCCTGCCCTGTGCCACTTCTGCTCCAGCTTCCAGGGCTGAGTGCTCTCAGCCCACACGAGACCTCCCAGCCTTCAGGAGCGTGGAGCTCCGCCTGCTCTCCTGGGCCTGGCTCTCCCTGGGTCAGTGCAATGCATGCACAGGGTGGACTTCACCTGCAGCAGGCTCTGCTCCGGGCCAGGCTCCTTCCATCCTCGGGCCAGCAGTCTTCCCTTGTCCAGTTGAGATGAGCGCCCAGACCCTCTGATCCTGTTTTTCTGGGCCCACCCTCCCCTTGCTGACTGCACTACTCTGAGTACGGCCTGGGCCAGGCAGCCCTGGGGCCTTACTGGTGCCCACTGGCCCTACTTGGTACTGCTGTCTCCTCTCCCGAGCGGGCGGGCTCTGCAGGAAGGAAGGAGCCAGCCGCTGCATGGGGTGGTGGGCTGGTGACCGCAGGCCCGGAGCTGGTCCTCGCTGCCCTGGGGTGCCCGCATGTGGCCTGGGTGCTGCTCTGTCCACGTGGCTGCCATCGCCGCCCTCGTTTCTTTCTGTGCTTCTTCCCTCTCCCCTGCTGCCTGCAGGGCCACCCCTGCCCCTTCTGAGGGAGAGAAGCGTTCTGTTTTACCCCTGCCCCGTCTCTGTCCTGTCTGTGCTCTCATCAGTGGTTCTTGTCTCTCATCTTGGGGAAACAAAAAACAGACACGCTTCTCCTGTTCCTCCGGGAGGGTTCCCAGGGGTACCGTCTTGTGGCTGGTTGGAGGGCCTTAAAGGGGAGGGCTAGGAATGCTGTGGAAAGGTGAGGTCGTGTATGTCCGTGGGGCCAGGTGTGTTCTGTGCACCCAGACGGAAGCCCTCCTGGCCTGAGCTGGCTCCCATGGGAAGAAGGTGGACCCTCAAAGGTGACACCAGAGGATTAAAAAAAACCTTCCCATTTCCACCTTAAGTTCCAGGAGTTAGTCTGTGCCATAGAATTCTTAAGAACTGCAGAACAGTTGGCCTTTTATCCAGAGCGCTCCAAACATACTTGGAAATGAACTCCGAGGTCCGTGGTCTGGCCAGGTGTACATTTTTACACATCTGACCCAGCAGAACGACAGACACAGGTGGGGTGTTCAGTTGGCTCCTGCCCGCCCTCCTCTGACCTCCTCTGGGAGGTGCTGTGGCACATGGTACGGGGCAGGCCCTTCCGGACCGAGCAGAGAGCCAGCCCATGTGTCCTGAGCCATAGTAGATGCCACGGTGCTGAGACTGCAGAGCAAGGCCAGGAGTCCGTGGCAGTCCAGCTGAGCACAGAGGCTGCAGGTGAATGAGGGTGGACTCAGGGAAGGAAATGGCTCCGGCCATGGCACCCACAGGGTTCTGCTTGGCTGAAGGAAGCCCTGGAGATCCCAGAATATCCTAACTCAGTATCCCAGCCCGCGCTAGGACCTGGCTTGGTTGTGCACCTTGAAAGTTCCCAGGGTCAGGTGATAGGGCCCCAGAGCGGCTAACACCCCGTTCACACTGACTCAGCCCTGGAGGAGAGGCCGGCGGTGATGACGTCGCCCCTCTACCTGGAGGTCATCATCTACTGCACGGGCGCCTTCCTCATCTCCTGCATGGTGGGCTCCGTCGTCATCTACAAGATGAAGAGTGGCACCAAGAAGAGCGACTTCCACAGCCAGATGGCCGTGCACAAGCTGGCCAAGAGCATCCCCCTGCGCAGACAGGTAACAGAAAGTAGATGGGGGATTTGCACTCCCAGCTCCGCCTCGGGGCCCTGGGCTTCCGCACCGAGGGCCTGCTGTGTCAGGCCCAGGGGACATCTCGCTCTGGACACTCAGAGCTGTTTCAGGCTGGTCCAGCCGTGACTCAATGACAGCCGTGGCCCAGCCGCACATCCCTGCTCACCTGCACGTGGATGAGGACAAAGTCCCATCGGCACGACCGAGACTGTGCACTGAGTGTCCCTGAGGGCCAGTTAGAGGTTCAGAGATAACGGAGTAGGGGGACTAGCAGATGGCATAAAGGTTACATTGCTGAGCTCCCACGTAGTCGACCGCAGTTTGAATCTTGGACCCATGGCTTAAAACTCAGACTGGGCACGTATGCGTGTGTGCCCCAAATCCCAAGAGGATGGAGGAGAAGGGATTGCAGCATGGCCACCCACCCTGCCCCGGAGGTGATGTCTTGTTTTCTGTCTTTGGCAAGTGCACATCCCCAATAGTAAAAAAAAAAATTAAATCTCTCGAAAAAGAGAGAAAGGCAAGGTTGAGATAAAGACGTGTGTCAGCTCTCAGGTGCCCCATCGCCCCCCAAAAGGAGATGGTTCAGAAAGTGAAGGCCTGTGAAAAGTGACCTCTCAGTGTTCTGGAAGGTGCTTTGGGGTCAGGAATCTATCCCCTGAAGTAGAGTTTTTGCAAAGAGTGGGGACAAGCAAAAGGTTGTTACCACGCCAAGCAAGAAGAGGTACTCAGGTCTGGCCCATCCCGAGGTGAGTAGGGTGAAGCCAGAAAGGCTCCTGAAAGAGCAGTGAGTTCCAAGAGCAGTGTCCTCAGGCCTCCCGAGGGCTTTGTACCACTCTGCCGTGAGGGAAAGCCCTGCTCAGGAACCCGAAGCTCCGTCCTTGGTGGAAAGGTGACCCCACTCCTCCCTGCAGGTGTCGGCCGACTCCAGTGCTTCCATGAACTCTGGGGTTCTGCTGGTTCGGCCCTCACGCCTGTCCTCCAGTGGGACCCCCATGCTAGCTGGAGTCTCTGAGTACGAGCTTCCTGAAGACCCTCGCTGGGAGCTGCCTCGAGACAGGTGACTCTCTACTCCCGGCTCTGGGGTGCCGCCCTCAGGCGCTCTGCAGCCCTGGAAGTTGTGTAGAGGCAGACCTTCTAGGGGGTGAAGGTGCATGAGAGACCTCAGCAGTAGTCTCGTCCACTTCCTGCTCTCAGTTGAGTGCGGTGTGGACAGGCAGAGGTGGGGTATCTCGGACGGTCTGGACTGTGCCAGCCTCACTGATGCCACTCTGTCTCTCCCGAAAGACTGGTCTTAGGCAAACCCCTGGGAGAGGGCTGCTTTGGGCAGGTGGTGTTGGCGGAGGCCATCGGGCTGGACAAGGACAAACCCAACCGTGTGACCAAAGTGGCTGTGAAGATGTTGAAGTGTGAGTGATGTCCTGTCCCAGCAAAACCAGTCCCCTCCCTTTCCAAGCATGCTCTGGGCCTGGGCTGCATAGACTACCTTCACTGGGGCTCTGGTCAGCCACGCCAGTGACACTGCCGGGCAGGCGGGGACGCCCTGCTGCGTTCTCACCGTGTCCCTGCATCCACCTTGGCTGTGGTCAGGGGTTGAGCCTGGCTGCCGCTGCAAGCTGGTGTTTCTCAGCAGCCCCCAGCCCCGCTTGCAGTGCAGGGACGACTCCACAGAGGGAAGGGAGGAGAGGTGCGCGTCCCAGAGGAGAGGGCTCCTTGGGCACGCGCTGCCTCTGCCCTGAAGCCTCTCCCTGCCCTGTCCCTCCCAACCTTCTGGCTTGCGTATAAAGCGGACGCAGCAGAGAAGGACCTGTCGGACCTGATCTCGGAGATGGAGATGATGAAGATGATCGGGAAGCACAAGAACATCATCAACCTGCTGGGGGCCTGCACGCAGGGCGGTAGGCGCTGCCCGGCGGTCAGGCCCGACCTCGGCCCGCTGCAGGGGGCTGCGGAGAGGCCGGTGTGGGGTGGTCTGGCCTGTGGGCACAGGGTGTGTGTGGACGGGGCGAGTGGTGAACTGTGGCCTAAGTTCACGCTCTTATCCCGGACTTGGCTCAGATTTTGGCCGTGGGGAAGAGGGCTTCCACTGCTCTCTGTGGAAAGTGGAGGGAGCTCCCTGGTCCCCTACGGAGGAGGAGGTGGGAGGGGAGCAGGGGGTGGGGGCTGCAGCAGGTGCACTGTGGCAATGGTCTCGCTGACCTGCGTGCTCAGGCCGCCTCGGCCTTGCCTTCCAGGCCCTCTGTACGTCATCGTGGAGTACGCCTCCAAGGGCAACCTTCGGGAGTACCTGCAGGCCCGCAGGCCCCCTGGGCTGGAGTACTGCTACAACCCCGGCCACAACCCCGAGGAGCAGCTCAGCTCCCAGGACCTGGTATCCTGCGCCTACCAGGTGGCCCGCGGCATGGAGTATCTCGCCTCCAAGAAGGTGTGAACCCTGAGCCCCCGGGTGAAGGTGGGGACCCCCTGAGCACCCTTGGCTCTCAGGGATCCTGGGGCCCGCAGAACCAGCAGAGCCGAGAGACCCAGGCCAGGGCTGTGCGAGGATACTTCCTGCATGGCTCAGGCAGCGAGCTAAGGTGTCGTGTTTCTCCTAACACGGAAGAATGAGAATCCCTTGTGGGAGGCTGGTCAGGAAGAGCCGAGGGCCTGTCCATGGTTCTTGGTGCTCAGTAAATGGTGGCTCTGTTGGCGCTCCCAGCCAGGGTGGGTACACTGGAGGGACCATGGGGACACACCATGTTGGCTAGACAGGTGCACGAGGGCCAGCCTTTGGGGTGCTGTCTACAGGGACGGAGGCAGCGGGCAGGGCCTGCAGCAGTGACGGGGAAGTGTGGAGCTGGGGGTGCTCCGAGCAGAGGAAGAGAACATTCTAGGAGCGAGAGCCCGTCCAGCAGGCGCAGTGCCGGGTGGGGGAAGCCATGAGGGCGGCAGGGCGGGCAGGCCTGACCCAGCCCATCCTCCGCCTGCCCCCGCCTGCAGTGCATACACAGAGACCTGGCTGCCAGGAACGTCCTGGTGACGGAGGACAACGTGATGAAGATCGCAGACTTCGGCCTGGCTCGGGACATCCACCACATCGACTACTACAAAAAGACGACCAACGTAAGTGCCCGGCGCCCACCTGCACTCATCCGTCCCCAGGCCGCCCGGTGCAGCTGCTGTGCCTGGGAAACACCGGCGGGCCGGCTGAGCGTGCGACCCTGGGCCCAGCCCACCACGCCCTGTCCGGGCCATCAAGTCCCCGTGCTGCTTGCAGGGCCGACTGCCCGTGAAGTGGATGG